AAAGTGGGGCTAGAGCCAAGAAGGTGAGCTACCTTATCCCCTCTTTGGCCCCTCCCCCACAGGCAGTGTAGCAAGGAGGGTTGCCCTGCCCTGGTGAATACCTAAGGCCATGCCTCCTTACAACATAACAGGTACACCGAGACAAATAAATAGGGCCCAACTGAAAGAACAGAGCAAAACTCCAGAAAGAGAGCTAAGTGAGGAGATAGCTAACCTATCTGATGCAGAGTTCAAAGTCCTGGTAATTAAAACGCTCACAGAACTAATTGAGCTCAGTCGCAAAATGAAAGAGCAAATGAAGGATACCCAAAGTGAAATAAAACAAAATATTCAGGGAACCAACAATGACAGAAAGGAAACCAGGATTCAAATCAACGATTTGGAACAAAAGGAAGAAATAAACATCCAAATGGAACAGAATGAAGAAACAAGAATTAAAAAAAAATGAAGAGAGGCTTAGGAACCTCCAGGACAACTTTAAACATTCCAATATCTGAATTATAGGGGTGCCAGAAGGAGGAAAACAACAGCAAGAAATTAAAAATTTATTTGAAGAAATAATGAAGGAAATTTTCCCTAATCTGGTGAAGGAAACAGACTTCTAGGAAGTCCAGGAAACCCACGAGTCCCAAAGAGGTTGGACCCAAAGAGGAACACATCAAGGCACATCATCATTAAGTTACCCAATATTAAAGATAAAATCTTAAAAGCAGCAAGAGGAAAGGAGACAGTTACCTACAAAGGAGTGCCCATAAGACTATCTGCTAATTTCTCAAAAGGAACCTTACAGGCAAGAAGGGGCTGGAAAGAAGTATTCAAAGTCATAAAAGTCAAGGACCTACATCGAAGACTACTCTCTCCAGCAAAGTTATCATTTAGAATGGAAGGGCAGATAAAGTGTTTCCCAGATAAGATCAAGTTAAAGGAGTTCATCATCACCAAGCCTTTATTATATGAAATGAATGTTAAAGGGACTTATCTAAGAAATTGGAGAAGATCAAAAACAATGAACAGTAAAACAACAACCAACTCACAGCTATCAACAAATGAACCTAAAAAAAAGAAAAACAACAAAAACAAAAATTAAGCAAATAACTAGAACAAGAACAGAATCAGAGAAATGTACATCACATGGTAGGTTTTCAGTGGGGAGGGTGAGGGGAAGAATAGGGGGGAAGGTACAGGGAATAAGAAGCATTAACTGATAGGCATAAAATAGGCAGAGAGAGGTCAAAAATGGTATAGGAAACAGAGGACTCAAAGAACTTATATATACAACCCATGGACATGAAATAAGGGTGGGGGGGGTAGAATGCTAGAGGGTTGGGGGATACAGGGTGGAAGGGGGATAATGGGAGAAAAATTGGGAAAACTATAATAGCATAATCAATAAAATATACAACCCCCTCCCCCATAAATCCAGGAGACTGTAAGTCTTCCTCTACCATCTTCCGGCATCTCCTGCTTCTTCATCTTGTCATATCTACACAATTGCTAAGTTTTTCAGTTTCATCTTCTAGAAGACTCTCAAACATGACCAATTCTATTTTCATTGCTGTTACTTTAGTCCCAGCAACACTTTCCCAACTGGTTTCTCTTAAGCATCTTTGTACACTCCTTTAATACCTTCTTTACATTATAGGTAAGAGTGATTTTTTAAAAATGACATTATGATATCATTCCTTCAGTGACTCTGCCTTTCCCTTAGGACAAAGACCAAATCTTCACCAGGGCCTCCATAGTTTGACTCCTGCCTACCTGTTCTCTCAACCTCATGCCATTCCCACCATTTCCGTTCCAGGTGCACTGAATTTCTTCCAGAGTCTTAAAGATGCCATTTGCTCTCTGCCTACAGATCTTTGCACATATCTTGCTCTGTTTTCCCCATGTTATTATAGCTCAAAATTGTAACTGCCTCAAGGGAGTCTTGCCCAATTTTCTGGATTAAACCAGAAAACTGTCCCGTTATACACTATCTCTTGTTAGCGCACATTTCACAAATATAATTTATTGTACGATTAGCTGTTTGATTTTGCCCTTCCCTACAAGAATTTAAGCTACATGACAGCCAAAACTGTATGACTGTAGGGTAAGTGGAGGCAGTCTGGCCTCTTCACCCAGGTGTCTTGGTAACTAAGGGAAGCAGTGTTCCCATAACCTTGAACAGGCCTGATTAGTAGTGTTCTCATAGCCTTGAGACTTGGTCCAATAAACTGTTCCCATAACATGAACTGTGCTCACATGTGCAGAATTATGCTATTTTATAAAATTTTCTGGCTTTTTGCCAGCTTTGTTTGCTGTAGTATTTAAAAGGGGTTAGGGGGCCCTGGCTGGTGTGGTTCAGTGGATTGGGCACTGGCCTGTGAACCAAAGGGTCACCAGTTCGGTTCCCAGTCAGGGCACATGCCTGGGTTGTGGGCCAGGTCCCCAGGAGGGGGGCACAAGAAGTAACCACACATTGCTGTTTCTCTCCCTCTCTTTCTGCTCCCCTTCCCCTCTATCTAAAAATAAATAAAATCTTTAAAAATATAGAAAAAGGGGCTAGAGGCTCCCTGCTGGATGCCACAACATGTGCCATGCTACACAGCAAGAGCCACAAATTGTGCTACGCAGAGACAAGCAGGGGGATATGCAGCTTGCAGCATGAGTGGCTTGCCCACCTGTGAATAAAGGCATGTCAGACATCCCAATGGCTCCATGAATATTCTGCCTGAATACCATGAACCTGTCTGACCTTGAATGGTTGCAACATAATGACCACATTCAGTATTGTATCTCCAGCACTTAATCCAGAGCCTTGTAAATAGTAGACACTTTAAAAATACTAATAATTTTACTCAGTATTATTCACTGTTGAATCTCAAATTAACTTCTCCCCAAGCTCCCGGTTTACTTTGAAAATAACCTACTCAAATTCTTCACCCAAATATTTTATAAGCAATTTAAATTCAACATGTCTCTAACCTCTCTACTAACCGCAACACCCCAAACTTACCCCTTTCCCAATCTTGCTCATATCAATAAACATCACCACCATTCATATAGTTTCTCAGGTCAAAATGGTGACTGGAGTCATCCTCAATTCATCTCTTTCTTTTATGTCCTATGTCCAACCATCAATGAGCCCTATTAACTTTACCTTCAAATTACGAATCCTAAGTGTGCTTCTGACAACCACTACCACCACTACCACTACTACCCTAATCCTTCTCTTCTCTTCTTAGACTAATATAGTGACTTCCCAATTTGGTCCCCTAACTCCCACTTCTGACCATATCCCATACTCTATTCTCCACACAGGGCCAGAGTGTCTTTGTCCCACTCCCACCTCTGAAGCTCAACAAGGGCAGGGTCTCTCTTTAATCCTACAGTGCATACATACCTAGTGACTAGCATCATGCTGGGCAGATAGATAGCAGACAAACAGTAAATATCTGCTAAATGACTGAACTGGGAATATTACTTTAAATGAAGATTCTTAGACTCCATCCCTAGAAACTCTGAACCTGCATTTTTTAATAATCCACAGGTGACTGATAAGTGATCTGCCAGGTACCCTGAATCCCCATTCTTGGAATACTACAAGGCTGTTCCACTTGCTCTCACATTAATGCACACAGAGACTTCTGAATTGACCCTGAGAGTCAAAAGAAAGAGAAGCGAAGCCTCCTCTGGGAAACATTACAGAAGTCAACTCTAGAGGACTTATATTCAATAGAGAACATAATCATTTTACTAGAATTGGCCCATAACTAGATGTATAACATTCCTGAACAGGTGAGGAGGGATTAAGTACATACAATTTTTAATTTATTATGCTTCCAGAGCTAAAACACTAATTAAATCCACAGATTGAAAAATATTAAAAATTAAACCTCATCTATTAAATCAGGTCATATGGAATAGCAGCATCAATTTAATGTTCTTCTCCTCCTTCTGTTTGTGTAAACACAAAGACACAGGAAAATTACTGAACTGCAAATAATCAAATGTAAAAAAACCCCTTAGTTTCACAGCAGAGTTTAAAATAGTTTAAAGATCTCATGCTTTCCTCCATGCAAAAACTGTTCTGTAATGCTATGTCAAATATAACTTAGTGTATTAGAATTTCATGTTTACATGTCTTAATTAAAAAAAAAAAAAAAAAAGGAGCCCTGGCTGGTGTAGCTCAGTGGATTGAGCACAGGCTGCGAACCAAAAATGTTGCAGGTTCGATTTCCAGTCAGGGCACATGCCTAGGTTGTAGGCCATGATCCCCAGCAACTGCACATTGATGTTTCTCTCTCTCTCTCTCTCTCTCTCTCTCTCTCTCTCTCTCTCTCTCTCTCTCTCTCTCTCTCTCTCCCTCCCTTCCCTCTCTAAAAATGAATGAATAAAATCTTAAAATAAATAAATAAATAAAAGAATGTAGCAGCATAAGAAATTACCAGGCAAGTTTATAGTATTTAACTCTCATAAAAAGGTCATCAGGTTCCAAAATTCTTGTATCTATATTGTAATATTTAAGAAACAGTCTAATTTCTGACTCCTTACAAGTACTTTCATTCTTCCTTTATATTTTCTTAAATTTAAGTCATTCTAAAATATTCATCAGGATAAAAACTAACAGCTTTTAATTTATTTAATATGATTCACATTCCAACTTTCTTTTATGTTAATAGATAAATATGCTTTTATCTTTTTCAGATAAATTAAAAAAAAACTCAAATTAAAAGAGTTTACCTTTAGTTACCAGTATTCACTTTAGCATTTACTGAAATAGCAGCCTTTTGCCATGTTCTTCATTCTACGTAACTCCTTGAGTCACGTGAGGACTTAGAGACCCTTAAAAACAAGAAGCCTTCAAGTAATCTAAGAAGCCCAATAATCATAAACAAATGGTTCTATGTCATATTGGGAAATTTCTGAAAAAACACATATTCCATCATTCTGGATATATAAAAAGGCACAATACCCTCTAACTTCCTCTCTTTGGTTTATTTGTCAGAGAAATCCCTTACCTGAGTGGCTTACTCTCTGGGCCCACATCAGTAAAGCCCATCTCCTCCAGTTTGTAGCGCCTGTACAGTTCGTAGTGCCTAGAGTGGGTCTGTTCTCGCAGGTCCTCCATATTTGTGCAAATGAGCATTTCCCGGAGCTTCACAAAGTCACAGTGGTTTTCATTCTCCACTAGCCAGAAAAATAAGAAACAGCAACACAAGTTTTTAATTTCTGACACACAATTAGTATTTGTTGAATGAATGAGTAAATGAAAATATTTGAAATAACAAACAGTTAAATGATAACTCTGCTTAAGAGCTACGATTATTCTATACATGTAACCAAGGAAGACTCTTGTATAATACATACCGAATTATAGGCAACATTAATTATCAGGCTGGAAGACTTGCTTTAAATTTAGTAGCAAATGGATAAACAAAAAAATGTGAAAGAAATGCACTGTATAATGTTACTATGTTCTCCAGTTATTTCACTAATACAATGTTAGAAGTTCATAAACCACATTCAGGATACTTAACATAGTGCTGAAAATATATCTAACATTGTTTCACTTCAAAGTAAAACTTCAAAGTAATAAATTCCGCATACTCAAGAGTCCCATCTGTGTATACTATAACTATCAAGTTCTTTTTACACAATGCCACATTTACAATCCTGTGTTAGACAGTTAGTGAATAAACTTACATGGTCCTCCTACATTTATGGTGACTAGAAGAGTACAGATGAATATATTACTGTTTAAGCACAGTTATTTTTAAATATTTTATACATTAAAATGTTAAACTTTTTAATATTTTTCATGTATTATGAAATTTGTCAATTTAAAAAGCAGCATTGTGAAACTGGTATTACCAAGGGCAATCCATTCCCCATTCATTACCATAACAAGTGAATGAACCACAGAGTATTAATTACTTACTCACTATAATGCTAAATAAATCCTAACATTTTTTTAGTTGGTTGACTGGTTTATTTTAGAAATAATTGCCAATATTTTGTAGTAAAAATATATAAATTTATACAATGGTTTATTGTACCCTAGAATTACCTAGTAATTAGTTTATGTATCATGTTTAAACACTACTATTTACACTCAAATTTTATTCAAAATGCCTGATCAATTTGTTCCACCTTCTAAATGTCTTGGTACACCTGAGCAGGTAATGGGGAGGTTCTGCCTGGTCTCTACAGACTTGATTAAATTGAACATGGCCAATTTTTCTGACAATGAATCATAATAAAAAATAACCATCACTTCAAAGAATGCATTGACTGCAACTTTGAGACTACAAAATAGTTCTAGTCATTGTTTATCTCATTTACCTTGTACTATACCCCAAGGGTACTGGCGAGCTTTGACCATCTTATTTCCAATTTTTACCTCATCCATACTTCCTACAACAGCAAATGGCAACTGTCCCTAGAAAGAAACCACAATATAACAGAGGAAATTAATTAAATAGCAAATTTATTAAAATCAAATGATCTGCTCTGCCTCAGATTTTCAAACTTGACAGTGAATATGTGCCAATTCTACTACAAGAGTCATTTTCAGACCCTATAAAGAAAAAATTTATTGAATATCCTCCCAACAAAAAGCATTATGCTATAGAAATAAAACCTAGAAAAAAAATTCCAGACTTCCAGTCAAGATGGAAGTGCAGGTAAATATGCTGTGCCTCCTTGCAAAACCAAAAGAAGGACAACAACAAATTTGAAAACCAAAAGCCAACCAGAACTGCCAGAAAATCAAACGGTATGGAAGCCTGACAACTAAGTAGTTAAAAAAGAAACACTCATCCAGACCGGTAGGAGGGGCAGAGACAGGCAGCTGGGGCAGAGAGGACTCACAGCAAGGCAGTGGCTATAGGACTTGGGTGGGCAAGTCAGCAGCTGGCAGACTGGGCAGTTCCATATTTGTGGGCAGATAAACTGGGAGGAAAAATTGGGGAGAAAGACAGACCATCAAACTGAACCAAGAATTCCAGAGCAGGGAAAGAAAGCCTCAAAATCTGATTGAAAAATCCTGTAGGGGTTGCAGCGGCAGCAGAAACTCCTAGCCTCACAAGAATTTGTTGAAAAGACCCAGAGGGTCCTAGAATGTACACAAACCTACCCACCCAGGAATCAGCACCAGGAGGGCCCAATTTGCCTGGGGGATGTGGGAGAAGTGACTGAAAGTGGGACGGTAGCTGAACAAGTAAGTGCATTGTTCCCTCTAAGACCCTTCCCCCACATACAGTGCCACAAAGCAGTGATGTGCATTGACCCCCACTGGCGAATATGGAGGGCTCCACCCCTGACTACATAACAGGTGCATGAGACAAAAAAAAATACAGCTCAAATGAAAGAACAGGTCAAAGCTCCAGAAAAAAAAATACAACTAAACAATGAAGAGATAGCCAATCTATCAGATGCAGAGTTCAAAACACTGGCCATAAGGATGCTCACAGAATTGACTATGAGTTGCAAAACAGAGGACAAAGTGAAGGCTATGAAAAGTGAAATGAAGCAAAATGTACAAGGAATCAACAATGACAGGAAGGAAACTGGGACTCAAATCAATGGTTAGGACCAGAAAGAAGAAATAAATAGTCAACTGGAACAGAATGAAGAAACAAGAATTCAGAAAATTGAGGAGAGGCTTAGGAACCTCTGGGACAACTTCAAATGTTCCAACATCTGAACCACAGGGGTGCCAGAAGGAAAAGAACAAGAGCAAGAAATTGAAAACTTAATGAAGGAGAACTTCCCCAATCTGGCAAAGGAAATAGACTTTCAGGAAGTCCAGGAAGCTCAGAGTCCCAAAGAAGCACACATCAAAGCACATCATAATTACTTTACCCAAGATTAAAGATAAGGAGAGAATCTTAAATGCAACAACAGAAAAGGAGACTGTTACCTACAAAGGAGTTCCTATAAGACTGCCAGCTGATTTCTTTAAAGAAACCTTATAGGCAAGAAGGGGCTGGAAAGAAGTATTCAAAGTCATGAAAGTCAAAGACCGACATCCAAGATTACCCAGCAAAGCTATCATTTAGAATGGAAGGGCAGATAAAGTGCTTCCCAGATAAGGCTGAGTTAAAGGAGTTCATCATCCCCAAGCCCTTATTATATGAAATGTTAAAAAGACTTATCTAAGAAAAAGAAGATCAAATATATGAACAGTAAAATGGCAACAAACTCACAACTAACAACAATGGAACCTAAAACAAACAAACAAACAAACAAACAAACAAACCAAACAACTAGAACAGGAACAGAATCAGAGAAATGGAGATTACATGGAGGGTTATCAGTGGGATTAGGGTTGGGGGGATGGGAGAAAAATTACAGGGAATAAGTAGCATAAATGGTAAGTAGAAAATAGACAAGTGGAGGTTAAGAATAGTACAGAAAATGTAGAAGCCAAAGAACTTATATATACCCATGGACATGAACTAAGGGGGGGTGATGCAGGTCGGAGGGGGGTGTGCAGTGCAGAGGGCAATAAAGGGAGGAAAATTGGACAACTGTAATAGCATAATCAATAAAATATATTTTTAAAAATTCCAGTATAAGTAATATAGGTATTATTTCCCTCAAAATTATCTCTGGCATAAAAGACAAAGATAATCGTGAAGAAATACAAGCCCCCCCACCCACACACAGAGTCCAAAAAGTATGTAGTCATCTAATATGAAAAATGGAGATATTTACTGAAGAAGATAGAAGATACAAGAAACATTAGACAATGACACCTCAGTTCCCTTCAGAATAGGGACCTAGAGACCTCACATAGTTCTCCCAACTGCCATCAGCTGCCCCGTTGTATTTTCCTGAATCACACTGATGGCCTCAAATTTCTTCCTTTTCAAAGGTGATTTTAGTTCTCGGAAAAGGTAGAAGCCACAGGTTGCCAAATCTGGGCTGTAGAGGTGCTGAGTCACCTGGGTGATTTCATATTTTACTAAAACTGCACAAGATGTGATGAATGAGCAGGCATATTGTTGTGATGAAGCTGCCTATCACCAGTTGCCAATAGCTGCAGCATTCTGAATCATCTGAACAGTTTTCATGGAGGAATGTTCAAGCTTAACAGAAAAGCTGATGTAGATTCATTGTTCTACTTGCTCAGTTATTTTGAATGCAACAACCACACAGTACACATGCTCATCGAATGAGTATCTACCTCCCCCACTGACTAGTAAGTGAAGTTGTCATTGTCCACACATGTGTATTCCAGTCCACTCTCTTGGGTTCCCAGGTTATACTAATGTCGCAGAAACTGTTCTCATTATATTAACAATGGTTGAACTTTTTCCAAACAAACTCATATATATGTAATGCCTGCTTGAGTGTGGTTGCTACAGTAATAATACAGGCATAATTAATTTATATTTTTAATTTAAATGTTTTACCTAAAATGTCATAATGGTGTGCTTTAGCATGATATTGTTATGTTACAGAATTACATGCTAAAGATTTTGTAATTAAAAAAGGGGCATAGCCCTGGTTGGTGAGACTCAGTGAATTGAGTGCCAGCCTGTGAACCAAGGGGTCGCAGGTTTGATTTCCAGTCGAGGCACATGTGTGGGTTTTGGGAGAGGTCCCCAGTAGGGCACACAAAAGAGGCAGCCACACACTGATATTTCCCTCCTTCTCTTCTCTCTAAAAATAAAATCTTTAAAAGAACAAAAGGGGGGTGTTACTTGTGCCTGACCACAGTATGTACGTGTGTGTAAATATATAAATATATATACACTACATATAACACATATATGCAACTAGATTATGTATATATCTATATTTAGTTTGTACACAGACATGATACTAATATAAAATAATATTTAAGTCCCAAACTAATGCTAAATATAATAAATGTTACAGAAATTTAGAGAAATGAAAGATCACTGTTAGCAGGAAGATACAACCCAGACTAAAGATGAATCAAGCAGAGAGGAAGAACTAGCTTAGTAAGGAGAAAATTTTGAAAAAACATACCTTGATTCAGAGTCAATGAGAAAACTGTCTGGAGTTGAGGATTAATATAAGGGAAAAGTCTAATGTAAAAAATATTAAGTATTGTGTTTAGTATTAACAAGTGACATTATTAGTCTCTTAACTGTGCCCTTCTGAAACATATTCCAGATGGACACAGAAACAAAATTAGATATAAAGACAATATGACACATAAGAATTAAGATTACTTATACTTGTAATTACGTTAATCAGATTTTTATATATCTAGTTTAAGTACCCTAAAATAAATGGGAGTATGAAAAGTCAAAAAAGGGAAAAAAGAGATATGGAATGACTAGTTACTGAATGTCAACATGCTAAGCAGTGCACAAAAGTTTTAGCCTCTGGCCCTGGCTGGTGTGGATTGACTGCCAGCCTGTGAGCCAAAAGGTGACTGGTTCAATTCCAATCAGAGCACATGCCTGGGTTGTGGGGCTGGTCCCTGGTTGGGGACACGAGAGAGGCAATATATTGATGTTTCTCTCACACCTCAATGTTCCTCTCCCTCTCTTTCTCCCTCTCTCTAAAAAAATGAATAAAAATTTTAAAATATTTATAAAAATTTGTATCTTTTCAATAACTCTTAAGATAGGTATTATTAACCCAATTTTGTGGGTGACTTAGCAAGATTAGAGGACAGTCATAACTTTCAAAAGAATATGGTTAAATCTGTTTCTAAAACCCACAATCCTTCAAAATATAACAAGATATTTAACAAATGTGGTAGCCTGAAGAAATTAACACAAAGAACTTAGTCACCTTCAGTAGCAGTAAACTAAAAGTTCTATGAAAATTTAGTATGTACACATGACACTGTAAGGGAGAATGAATTTAAATAACAGATTAGAAAGATCTCCTTAAAGATTTTAAGATTCTATAGCATCCAAAGAAGGCCATAAAGTCTTCTCCTGTTTATAAAGAATAGAAAAGTATCTTTAAGGCAATGAAGTGTGGTTCCACAAAAGGAGTACTGCAGTATAACAATGTATCGCTATTCATTCATTCATTCATTCATTCATTTATAGAGGGGAAGGAAGGGAGAAAGAGAGGGAGAGAAACATCTATTGGTTGCCTTCCATATATGCCCCGACCAGGAAGGAACCACAACCTAGACATGTGCCCTGACCAGGAACTGAACCAGTGATCTTTCAGTTTGCTGGACAATGCCCAACCAACTGAGCCACACCTACATGAAAGTAGGGAGGAAAGAAAGTATTTTCTTATTTTTCTTTTTCTAACTTGAGAAAACAGAACATTTTCCTATACTGGACTTTTTGAAAATTTACCTTTAGTTTTTTTGGAAGGCCTCAGTTAAAATATATTAGCAACAATGTTATCTACAAATTACTTATTTTCTACATGTACAACAATTAATATTGTTAGGAGCTCACATTCATTGAAGCATTGATTTTAGCAACAGTTTCATCATCTGTTGGGAACTGGTATATCTGGACACCATTGCTGACCAGTTCACTCATGAGCTTGATCTTAAACTTCTGTAATTCAGTTTTAGAAATTGCGTCTGCTTTGCCAATCACTGGTATAATGTTCACCTATTAAGAATAAAGAAAAACAAAATTACATAATTGAAGATGTATTTTTTTCATCCTGCAGTTTCTGCATTAAAAACCACTAAATCTCTGACAAATTTCCTTAACCTAGATCACAGGATGGGCAAACTACAGTCTAGCTCATGTAAGTAAATATTTATATAAATGAAGATTAATATAAATAAAGATTTATTTATATAAATAAAGATTATGTGGAACACAGCTAGGCCTATTCATTTACATGTTGTCTATGGCCACTTTCACAATATGATAGCAGATATGAGTATTCCATCAGAGATCATGTGGCCTGAGAAGCCTAGAGTTGTTTATTAATTGGCCCTTTTAAGAAAAACCTTGCCAACTGTTGACCTAGATAATCATTAGCTGTCATTCTTACCACATACCCCACACAGTCACTCCTACAGATGCTGGTCCTGCATAATCATTCCTACAGATGCTGGCCTTACAATAAGTGCTTTTAAAAACTACAGCTTTTTAAGTTCCAGCCGAAATGGAGGTATAGATAGAATGCTTCACCTCCTCACACAACCAAAAGAAGGAAAAACCAATTTAAAAACGAACAACAACCAGAACTGTCAGAAAATCAAACTGTATGGAAGTCCAACAACCAAAGAGTTAAAGGAGAAATATTCATCCAGACTGGTAGGAAGGGTGGAGACAGGAAGCTGGGGCAGAGAGGACATGTGGCAAGGCAGTGACTGGCAGACTGGGTGCTCCCACATTTGCGCATGGATAATGGAGGAACAGCAGGGCACAAGACAGATAGTGGAATTCAGGGTCCCAGTGCAGGGAAAATAAAGCCACAGAACCTCTGGCTGTAAAAATCTATGGAGGTTGTTGTAGTGGAAGAAATGGTCAGTCTCTTGAAAGCAGGGTGAGAGCTGAGCAAGTGCATTGTTCCCTCTTGGACCCCTCCTCCAAATACAGCACAACAACATACCAAAGTGGGTTGCCCTGCCCTGATGAATTCTCAAGGCTCTGCCCCGTAACACTTAACCAGTGCCCCGAGACAAAAAGGCACAAATGAAAAAACAGATCAAAGCTCCAGAAAAAGAGCTAAGCAACTAGAAGATAGCCAACCTATCAGATACAGAGTTCAAAACACTGGTAACTAAGATGCTCACAGAAATGGTTGAGTATGGCAGCAAAATGAAGAAGTGAAGGCTATGCAAAGTAAAATAAAGAAAAAAATACAGGGAACCAACAGTGAAGGGAAGGAAACCAGGACTCAAATCAACAGTCTGGAGCAAAAGGGAGAAATAAACATTCAACCAAACAGAATGAAGAAACACGAATTCAAAAAAACTGAGGAGAATCTTATGAACTTCTGGGACAACTTTAAATGTTCCAACACCCGAATCACAGGGGTGCCAGAAGGAGAAGAGGAAGCACGACAAAATGAAAACTTATTTGAAAAAATAATGAAAGAAGACTTCCCTAATTTGGCAAAGGAAATAGACATATAAGTCCAGGAAGCTCAGAGTCCCAAAGAAGTTGGAACAAGGAAGCACACACCAAGGCACATCATAATTACATTACTCAAGATTAAAGATAAGAAGAGAATCTTAAAAGCAGCAAGAGAAAAGCAAGTTACCTACAAAGGAGTTCCCATAAGACTATCAGCTGATTTCTCAAAAGAGACCTTACAGGGGAGAAGGGGCTGTAAAGAAACATTTAAAGTCATAAAAGTCAAGGACCTACATCCAAGACTACTCTATCCAGCAAAGCTATCATTTAGAATGGAAGGAGAGATTAAGTGCTTCCCAGATAAAGTCAAGTTAAAGGAGTTCATCATCACCAAGGCCTTATTTTATGAAATGTTAAAGGGATTTATCTAAGAAATAGAAGATCAAAACTATGAACAATAAAATCACAATAAACTCAATTACCAACAACTGAACCTGAAAAAAAAAAAAAACAACAACCCAAACAAACTAAGCAAATAACTAGAACAGGAACAGAATCACAGAAATGGAGATCATATGGAGGGTTATCAGTAGGTGTAGGTGGGGACCAGAGTGGGGGTAAAGGTACAGGGAATAAGAAGCACAAATGGCAGGTACAAAATAGACATACGGAGGTTAAGAACAGTACAGGAAATGGAGAAGCCAAAGAACTTATATGTATGACCTATGGACATGAAATAAGATGGAGGAATGCGGAAGGGAATGGGCAGGTGGAGGTGGATAAAGGAGAGAAAAAAGAATAGGACAGCTGTAATAGCATAATTAATAAAACATACTTAAAGTAAATTAAAAGTACACCTTTTATAATATTAATCTTTCATCTGATTTTTGGTTTAGAAATCTCACATTTTCTTCTCTCAAGGTCTTGTAAAATCCTGTCATAGACAAATAAGTAAAATGTCATTGAAAGTGCTTGCTTAATTTACTAACTTAATTTCTTAGTAATTTAAGCACTAAGTAATTACGATGATTGATCCCTCACAAAACTATGAAACAGGTTAAGTTTCTTCTTCTGCTTCATTTTAGCAGGTCCCCTTTCACCAAAGAATCTACACAATCTGTGCCCCACTGTCATGACTCCTGCCTAGGTGTCAAAGGAAGGAAATTTTACGACCAACTGATATTTGTGGATGGTCTCCTCTCAGAGAGGAAAATTGAGGTCATGAAGGCTAATTAACTCGAAAAGCTAATTCTCTAAGATTAATGTCTCCATAAAAGACTGATGCCTACACAAACTTAGGGGTTTGTAGGTTTTGGTTTTGGTTATTTATTTATTTAGTTTGTTTTTAGAGAAGATTTCAGGCTAACTAGTTATATGTGTCAACAGAGTAAGATATCAATACAATTCTCAGGGTGAAAGTGAAAAGTAAAAATCATAATTCCCATTCTTAAATTTCTCTTTTCAACTTCACACTGATTCATTGGTATATTTGGATTTATTAGTCTTAATATGCTCCAAAGAAAGTAAAGATTTTTCTAACTACCCATGAAAACTTGACAGAAAACTTTTCTAAAATTATAGGTATCCAGCTTTCATGGTAAATTTGTCAGAGTATGGTACATAAAAAGTTATGCCAAGTTCAAAATCATGTACTTGAATATTCAGTAAATTATGCCAAGTTAAAAACTTATAATTGTGTCCACAATAAACAGCAGAAAGCAGGCTGCAGTGTAAGTGCCTAACATTAAGCTTTTTGATTGTAATAAAAGTGCCTGATATTAAGCTTTTGATTGCCAAGGTATCCATTTTAAAGACATCAAGCTTGCATAAATGTATCCCCAGGTATATGACAAAGCTACTAGCAAAACAACCAGGTAAGGAGCCAGGCTGCCCCACCCATGAAGTTCCCCTTTTAGAAAGCTGGAGCAATCTAAAAAATGCATCTCTCTTCCTGTGTTCCAACTCCCACTCTTATGTTTTATATTTGCAAACAAAGAGTAAATTTAGAACAAACTCACATTAACCAGAGGGGAGGAGGGTGGGGATAATGGGGGGGCAGGTTTTAGGAACATGTATAAAGGACACAGGGACAAAGACAAAGAGCAGTAGGGGGGAAATGGAGACAACTGTACTTGAACAATAAAAAAAAATAAGATTGGAGAAAAAAAGTCAATCCGTAAAACCCTAGACACCCCATCCTTGAACACTAATAAACACAGAGCCCCAGGTTCATACTCCCTCCCTCCCTTTCTCCTCCTGTCCTCCCTGTAGGTCCTTGGGTATGTTGTGTACCCTCCAGGATCTACAAGTGACAAATCTTGTTCTTCAAAGTTTTCTGATGGTTTTCTGTTGAAGTGTAACCTGAGATCATAATAAGAACCACAAGGGTTGGTCCAGCCATGACATCAACCCTGGTGGTGGCAGCAGCAGCGGGGAGCGATATCTGTGGGGTTCACAATATGAGTAAATACATTTGGAAGAATACCTCAGGCATTCCTGACCAAAAGCATCACTACCTATAGGCTGGAGGACACAACATAACTCCTTAGTTTTATTTTAGACATGAGGAGACTGAGGCTGAGAGGGCTAAAGAACTTATCCAAGAACATATAGCTATTAAGTGACAGAGTTAATATTTAAAACCAGCCTTTACTAACACCAAATGCTATGATATTTATACAAACTATATCATATTACTTCTGTCTTGCTAAGATAAAGTTACACATTCGTACTTTTATGTTCCATTAATAAATATTAAACTTCCATATAATCAGACTGAACAATGAAAATAACTGGCTAAATGGTTAGAAAATCTATCAAATGAACAGGCTATCATATAAGCTTCATCAAGTTACTGCTAAAACCAGGGACTATGACTAGTAAAAAGTAAATAAATCTATGTACCAAGACTTCCCTAGCAGGTCCTCTTGCTTTCCACAGTGATGTCCATATAGAAAGTAGTAATGGCCAGAATGCCCTTGCTTTCTGAATACTATCTCATAAAATTATTAGCCAGGATAATGAAAGCTGAATTTCTCATACTCTCAGAAGTTACAGAAAACCTGTGTATTTTTTTAGTATAAGACAGCAGCCTTCAACCACCTTTTAGACAAAAATCCACAGAGTTCATTTGGAGAGAATATTTTTATAGCTCCCTGAATTTATATATATCTCCTTGGATTATAAATTTAAAAATAGGTTTTCTTGGTATGGTTCACATTAAAATATAATTTGCAATGATGTGATAAAACATTAGATATTAATCTTTGTCAATGAACTTCTCACTTAAGAGTATCATAAAGGAAAATTATTGTCAAATAAATTCCACATTTAAAAAATGTAAATGGCCTTTTCACCATGTGAGGACACAGTGAGAATTCTGCAATCAGGAAGATGGCCCTTACACAACCATGCTGGCACCCTGATCTTGAACTTCCAGTCTCCAAAACTAAATTCCACCAGGACTCTGGACTCTAGTATTTTTACTGTATAGAGAGGAACAGACAGTCCTAGTTGTACTCTGTCCATCTACATGCTGGCCATTATAAAATACCAGTGGTATAAAGATTCTAAAAAGAAGTTTCCAAGTATTATTAACCAAATGTGAAGAAAGGGATTTTCTGTCCTGCGTGTGTGTACACCCGTTTTTCCGCTCTCTCAATTCTTTTTAATATGATAAGGCCTTAGAAGTTATGTCATCAAAAGTAAACAATTTTAGCAAGAGCAAAATTAGTGTTTGTGGATGTATTTGCAAGCCAAGGAGAGGGGCCTCAGAAGAAACCAAACCTACTCACACCTTGATTTTAGACTTCTAGCTTCCAGAACTGTGAGAAAATTAATTTGTTATTTAAGCCTCTCAGTGTGTAGTATTTTGTTATAGCAAAATAGAGCTCTAGCAAACAAACTAATACCCTATGTGCCCCAGCAATTTTGCTCCTAGGTATATAGCCAAGAGAACTAAAAACATGTGACCATGCAGAATTATTTATGATAGCCAAAACCCCAAATGCCCATTAACTGTTGAATAAAATATGAAATACCCATAAAATGGAGTATTCTTCAGTAATTAATTAAAAGGAATGTAGTGCTGATAGATTTTTTAAGAATATGTAAATGAATCCCCATATTCTGACATGCAATTTAATCATTAAAAAAGAACTAAAATTTTGTATTAATGTTTTTTCTTTGCATCTCATCTTTTAAACTGAATTTCTCTGGAAAATAACCTAAGACTAAAACTTATCAAACGTTTTAAAAATGCACAAAATAAATGTTATACATATATTATCATAAAGATACTTTAATAATTCAAAATAAATATTAAAGCAAGATAAGTTGATTCCTTTTCCAAACCCACCTTGCTGTCAAGGCTCTTCATGGTTAAGAGATCAAGTGTCTTCAGAGAGTGGCCTGTTGGTGAGATGAGGTAGAGGCACACATGGATACGAGAATCATGGTAGTTAAAGAGAGAACGCTTAATCTTCAGTTCTTCTTGGAGATAGGCCTCAAACTGAGCATCTATGTAATCAACTATTGGTTGGTAGCTAAAAATAATAATTATTTAAATATTGAATACAACATATTCATGCTACCTTAATAAGATATTTATATAACTCTGAAGTTTGAGATCTATATTTTCATCAACTAATAAACACAGTATCTATGCTGAACAGATAACTTTAAGTAATAAAACAAATTGTGCAAAATATGCATGTACAGAGGTAGTACTTCAAAACTATCAGGATAACCCATGTTTTAAACTGTTTTATAGAAGTGATATTGAATTTACATTGCTTCATTCTCACATTCATTCACATAACGGATCCCTTACTAACAAGGCTCCCACATTTAACTGCATTTCTGATTTGATACTTTCATTTGATACATGCCTTTCCTCCTTGATATGTTACTGATTTTTATGCCATACAAATCTAATGCAAGAAGCAAGAAGTTATGGAATTTGACTTAAATATCTTTTAAGTTATTGATACTCATGCCTTTTCTCAGTTAAATAATATTCTATGTCCATAGTAATTTGCCCTAGGTTTCAGTTTCCAGGGCATAGCAACAAAGAGAGAACAGATCCTGGCCAGTTCTTTGAGTTGAAGAGATATATATAGCAGTTCAAGGAGGCCAAAGCAACTAGAATTTATAGATAAGAACACTGGAAAAAAGAAGCTGCACCAACAGAACGTACTGGAGATCTAGAAAGGGATCCCCTTCTGGCTTTGGTGAAGCACTGATGTGCACATGTACATGTATGTGAGGAAAGTACCCAAGATGCTGGACTTCTCCTATATTCTAACAACAGTGTTGGTTACAAAGCTATACATTTGTCAAAATTAATTGAATTATACACTTTAAAAAATTGGTGCATTTTAATGTAAATTAGACATCAATAAAACATTTAAAAAGAAAAGCAAAAGAACTGAAAAGACACATAAATGTCATTATTTATAATTATACTAGTATATACATAGAAAATCTACACAATATTAAAGACGAATTGTTGGAATTAATCAGAGAATTTACAGAAGTTGCTATATGTTAAATCAATATGTCCATAGAAAATGAAATACTTTTAAAAGATTCCATGTATGAGAGCATCAAAATTGCCAGATATCAAAGTATAAATTTATGTCCCTGGCTGGCGTAGCTCAGTGGATTGAGCACGGGCTGTGAACCAAAGTGTCGCAGGTTCGATTCCCAGCCAGGGTACATGCCTAGGTTGCAGGCCATAACCCCCAGCAAGCGCACATTGATGTTTCTCTCGCTCTCTGTATCTCCCTCCCTTCCCTCTCTAAAAATAAATAAATAAATACAATCTTTTATAAAAAAGTATAAATTTATAAAGCCATACAGGGTCGCCATATAGAAAATTATTTTAAAAATTAGTATAACTTATAGCAACATGTCACAGGCCTTTGTCTCTGTCACTAATCTGCTTCTTCAAAAAATGCACATAAATCATTTCTTGAAATTTAAAGCAGAACACACAAATATGCTAAAAAGGCGGGTGTAAGTTACACAACTCTTTATGTAAAAACTCTATTATGCAAAATATTTTCTCTCTGAAGCAAACTTTAGAAAAGCAGGAAATTACCTCTAATAATGAAAATACATCCTTTCTAGAAAAGGAATAAGAACAAAAGTTATTGCTTTACCCCAGTCTGTTTCCCCTTTTCTTAGTTTAAATTTCACAGAATAATGACATAATATAAAAAAGAAACTTCATTATCAAAACTTTCCTGTAATGCATTATAATGTACCTGGCTAATTTGGTTAGAATTTCAAAAAAAATCCATGGATTTGGCCATTAGATATTTGCCATTGTATGTCTTGTTTTTTTCCCTCATTGAATTTAGTCTTGCCTGAAAATTAGTACAAATCACTTAAAATACAATGAATTGGCATATCAGGAAATAATTAAAACTATTTTTGCTGAAATAGATATTTTAATGACACATTTCAAACTATTCTAGAGAAATTAGGTAACTGAATATAAAAATGTCAATTTGTTAGAACAAAATATTGCTTAATGATTAAAAAAATTAAAAGTCCGGGAGGAAAGGTATGGATTTCCATAGTAGAAAATCAAATCATAGCACATGGCAAGAGAATACAAATGCCCTGAAATAAAAAAAACAAAAACAAAAAACTTGTTTTACTACAAGAAGAAAACATGTACCTTTCTTTTTTGTTTATTTGGTCACCAAATCCCACTGTATTCACAACGGTCAATTTCAATCGAACATTACTTTCTTGGAGTTCATATGTCTGAGCTTTAAGTCTAACATGTGGGTAAAAATGTGAGGATTCATGGTCTTCAAAATTAGTATTAAACAATGTATCAATCAGCGTTGATTTTCCAATTCCAGTCTCCCCTGAAGGAAACAAAGGTACATTTTCACAGGTGCACAGGATGGATGAGAAAAAATAGAACTGTAAACTCTTAAGAGTGGTTTCAAGGATCCCAAATATTTTTAATATTTCAAAGGCTGAGTTGTCCATGGAAGAAATACATGCTAAGGTCAGTCCACTAAGTCATTAGCAGAATATAAAAATGAGTAAGTATGCTAAGTTACTCAGAACTCTACAGTACTGAAATGCTTAAAGAACAAACAAAAAGTTAAAGCAGTACAGGTGAAAAACAAAACTCATAAAATTTAAGTAACTGAACAAAATCTGTGATCATGATCTCAAATTGATAACATGAGCACCACACAACTTACAAGAATGAGTGAGCACAAGGAACATGAAGGAATAACTTAGAGGAAGAGTCTGGCACTCACCAACACAGAGAATATTGAAACAGAAGCCTTGCTGAATTGATCTGTTGACCAGCTGATCAGGCAAATTCTCAAAACCAACATGGCCACACATAGTCAAAGAACGAATATTTTCTCTTTTCTGAAGAAAAAAAAATAGCAACAACAAAAACAAAACCTTTACTAAGACAGGATATAAGGAAGTTTGAAAGAATAAATATATCAAAGAAACTTAAAATTTTAAGATCATTTTACCTTCCCAAGATACAACTAAGTAAATTTGTGAGAAATGTGTCCAGACCCTCAAAACATGTATTTCTTTTCATATAATGAGATTTCAGCACTACTTATAACATTAAAATATTTGATTTTCAAAAGAGGAAAATATCCAAAAGAGAACTGTGGCATTCATTTGTAAAACAAAATGTTTAAAGTAATTTTGTGATACATTTTTAATAACATTTTAATTTGGGTTTGTTTTTTTTTTGCCTTTGATCAGATTTTTATTCAAAATTAGTTGTTCATAGTGATCTGACCTTTATGGAATAAACAAATTTAAGTTTATGCTGCAGGTTTGTTTTCTTCTGTGGTAGTGCCATATAGATCATCTAGCTTACAGAAAGTACTTCTAATCCAAATGTAGTAGTAACAGCCCACAATTCCATCAGGAGCAAGCTTCAAAGTGTTCAGTTTGTTTACAGTATGCAGAGAAATTCCAAGGATGTTTCTAAAGGCTTTGATGATACTGTTGTTCTCATTATATGAGGGAGGACCCCCCCACCTATCCTCTGGTGGGTGAGCCCCTCATAGCATATAGGCTTCCCCTGTTAGGTGAGTGTTCTAGGTACCCATCTGTATGAGTGTACCAGTTGGCATTATTGTGACAGGCTGCATTAGACTTCAGTGAATTTTTTTGACTCTCTCAACACATTTGCCCATTTCATAATGAGTGATTTATGAGTGCACCTGTCCACACTGCAAGCTGAGTGTTCAGAAGTTTTTGACCAAAAATGGTAAGACACCCATGTCCTACCCTATTTACTCTATCTTCACCCAGAAAGACTTTTTTTGTGTTTTCCCCAGATGAAGAGTTCTCAGAGGGAAATGGTTTGCCGATGTGGAAGAGGGGACACAAAAAATGGCAGAAACACTAAAAGGCATCAAAATCAATGAATTCAAAAACTGTTTTGAGTAGTGGAAAAAACATCTCAATAGGTTTATTGCATCAAATGGAGAGTACTTTGAAGGTGACTGAAGTTTAAATAGGTAAGAATAAATACACAATTTTGTATTTAAAAATTCTGTTTTGAATAATGCAAGGTCCTCTGTGCTGGATACCACGATGGTTTCTGATTGTGCTCATCTCTCATTCACTGAGAGGCACGGACTTTTTTATAATAACATTTTAGGCCTTAAGTTTCTTAAGAAGCAAATCAGCCTCCTTGATCTTGTAGCCTTCAACTTTATCTTCAACCACAAAAGGAAGTTAGGAACTTCCTCAATATGATGACCTTTAGACATGACCAGTGCAGCCAAGGCAGAGCTTGATGGCACATCATGTTCACTCTGTGGAGCCAATGGCACCAGGTTTTGGTTGGTGCAAACATGTGGATGACACATATATCCAAAAGCACCCTGATCAGACTGATGAGTTCCACCACCTCAAACTCTGGGAATTTGAGTCATAGCTCTGCTAGTACCTAAGACTGGTTTGATGGCCTGCCAATTCAGTGACAGCATAGGGCTGTCTACTGTTTTTGCACAAGTTGGTGTGAACAAACTTCACAATATCTGGTTGAATGGAAGCCTTAAACACAGCAAACAAAACGACATTTTTGCCAGATGATTCCCTCTTTTTTGGAATACTCTCATATGTGTCAATGGATGACCACTGGTTCTTATATTAACATGTTATATGAAAAAAGTACAATATAAAATTATAGGTACAGTCCTAGCACCCAGTAATGGCAGAATAACAATGTCACCTAACCTTCCTATTAATAATAACTATAATCAATTTTTTCAAGTACTGGAGTACAACCAAAGGCTGGTAGGCATTGAAGGGGAGACTCTTGAAACAAGAAAAATATGTAAGGTAAGATATTTTCTAGCTTTCCCCCTGAGGGCACTCCCCAGTCATTGTTGCAAAAGGAAGATAGAGCTCAAAATGCCAGTGGCAGTCCTACTGGGTTGGTAAGTCAGTTGGAGAAAAGGCCATGTAAATGAAGGAGAAAATTATAGAAAGGAGGGAGTCCAAAACCTGTAAATACACTTCCCTCAAATCCTTGGCTGACTGTTGAATTGCATATGTATAGGATAAATACAAATAGCCTAGCAGGGGAAAAATAGGAAGAAGTTACACAGAGTGTTCAAGAGAGCCATTTTGGGAGGCTTGAATTTTGAGTCTGTAAATTAAAGGTGCTTGGCAAACACTTTAAGGCTTCCCAATGAAAACCTTAATGGGCTGTATGTTAGGAATAAGAATCACATCCCAGGAGTCAGAAATGCTCCCTATATAGAAGTCATGGCTGAAGTAGACCTGCTCTAACAATGACTATAACAAAAGCTCAACATAATCAATGTGACCAGCTAATAACTTGCCTGTTAGAAAAAAGGTCAACACTCCTCAGAAGAAGAAAATAAAATCCAGCACCTCCTCAATGTATCATTCACAACATCTCCTATACAATCAAAAACTACCGTATAGGAGGAAGCAGAAAAGGTGAATTCATACTCAAGGAAAAAAAACCTCAACAGAAAGAGATCCACAAATAAACCGAAAGTTGAATTATCTCATAAGAACTTTAAAATAGCTATTGTAATCATACTAAGTAAGAAAAATATACACTTTTCCACAGGAAAGAGAGATGGACACAATAGGTGACGTCAGAGGGAATCATGAGATATTAAAGAAAGCTCTCAACAACTAGAGGCAACAGATAGAAAGGAAGATCAAACCATGGAACAGAGATTTGTTGCAATAGTTATTATCCAAGCTAAAATTCTCTCACAGAAAAAAATAAAACTATAACAGAGACTCAAAAACCTATGGGACAATAACAAATAATCTAACATACCTATAATTGAAACCTCAGGTGAAGAAGGAGACAGGCAAGGGGAGGAAGAAAGAAAGTATCTGAGTAAGAGTGACTGAAAATTTTCCAATTTTCTAAACATGAACTCAGAGATCAAAGAATTTCAGCAAACTACAGTGGAAAAATCCAAAGGTACCCACAAGTAGGCATGTTACAGCAAACTGTTTAAGAATAAGGATAAAGGGAAACTTTATGAGCAACCAGGTATGGGAGACAGATTATACATAAGTAAAACATAAAATGACCACAGGTTTCTCATAAGAAACAATGCTAACCAAGAAACAATAGAAGAATATCAATAAAATGCCAAAAGAAAAAAACGGCAACCAAGAATTCTATTATCAAGTGAAAATATTCTTTACCAATGAAGGCAAAATGTCTTTAGACAAAATCTGAGAAAAGTCATTGTAAGTAGATGTACACTATATGAGATGTTAAAAGTTCTTCAAGAGAAGAGAAACAATAATAGGTGGAAACTCAGATTGGCAGTAAACTCAGCAGTACCACTGCTTGGATTATACTCTAAGAATCCTGAAACACCAATTCAAAAGAACCTATGCATACCAATGTTCATAGCAGCACAATATACAATAGCCAAGTATTGGAAGTGCCCATCAGTAAATGAGTAGATCAAAAAACTGTGGTACATTTACACAATGGAATGCTACACAGCAGAAAGCAAGGAGCTCCTGCCCTTTTCAATAGCATGGATGGAACTGGAGAGCATTATGCTAAGTGAAGTAAGCCAGGTGGTAAAAGACAAATACCATATGATCTCACCTGTAAGTGGAACTTAACGAGCAAAACAAACAAGCTAGCAAAATGCAACCAGAGACACTGAAGTAAAGAACAAACCGACAGTAACTAGAGAGGAGTGGGGAGGGAGATAATAGGAGGAAGGCCATTAAGGAACATTTATAAAGGACACATGGACAAAGCCAAAGGGGGTAGGTTCAAGGGTAGGAAGCAAGGATGGGTGGGGTGGGGGATATGGTGTGGTGGAAATGGATACAAATGTACTTGAACAACAAATTTTAAAAAAAGAAACCTATGTAATATCATTAACCAATGTCACCCCAATAAACTTAATAAAATTTTAGAAATAATAAAATGCATAAATGTGAGAGAGCCCCTTCCTTGTTTAAATTTCTTGAAAATATAATTGAATGTTTAAAGCAACAACAATTATCACAGGATTTATAATACATGGAGAAATAGAATGTATGATAATAACAGCACAAAGGATAGGAAGGGGAATGGAGATATACTGTTGTAATGTTTCTGTATTATTCATGAACTACTATAATATTGTTTGAAGGTGGTATGTCAGTTGAAGCCTGTATCAATTACTATTTTAAATTTTTTTTTTTAGAAAACCAGAAATACAGCTAATTAAGCCAATAGGGAAGATAAAATGCAATCATAAAACTCTATTAATCTAAAAGAAGGTAGGAAAAGGAAAGAAAAAAACAGGACAAAGAGCAAACTGATAGGCTTAAATTCAGCAATATCTATAATTAAATTAAAGATAAATGATGTAAACCAGTACTGTCCAATAGGACTTTCTACAATGATGGAAATTTTCTATACCTGAGCTGTGCAACAGATACTCACTAGTCACATGCAGATATTAAGCACTTGAAATGTAACCAATGTAACAGAGGAACTTAATTTAATAAAATTTTATTTAATTTTAACTAATTTAAATTTAAAGGGCCACATGTGGCTAATGGCTACCATACCAGATAGTGCAGGTCTAAACATTTCAATTAAAAGAAGGAAACTGTCAAACTGGATAAAATAACCAAATCCAACTATATACTGTCAAAATAGTAACTGACAAGCTGATCCTAAAATTTATACTGAAATGTAGAAGATTTAGAATAGTAAAACAATTCTGTAAAAGAACAAAATTAAAGGACTTACAGTTTCTACTCAAAGCTACAGTCACAAAGTGTAGTATAGAAAGAGCTGAGAACTTCCAAAGAATTGGATTTGAGGCAAGAAGGGGATTCAAGTTCTCCCTTGCTGTATGGATAAAAGGGAGCCACATGACAAGGACCTAAGAATGATGAGGACCTGCTACTAACTTGCCAGGAAGGAACTGAATTCTGCCAATAACCTGAGTTTTGAAGGGGAGTCTCCAGGTAAGAACCCAGCCAGTCAACATCCTGAGTGTGAGGCCTTGGGCAAAGAAGCCAGCTGTGCTGTGCCTGGCTTTCTGATCTACAGAAGTGTGAGCTAATAAACAGGTGCTGTTTTAAGCAGCTAAATTTGTGGCAATTTGTTATGGAGCAACAGAAAACCAGTACACTGTATTTTCTTTTGTGGCCTTTAAATAATTTTAAGTCAGGTAAGCATATTATTTTATAATTAAAAAAGAGTAAGGAAACATTATTTTCCCCAGTCATAAAAGTATTAAAGATTAAAATAATAGTTATTGTCTAATAAGCAAGTGCAAAAGTTGAACCAAATAGCTGTAGAAATCCTTCAGGCTCTAAAGCTATATAATTTTTTAAAAGTATATTTTATTGATTATGCTATTATACTTTTCCTAATTTTCCCCCTTCATCCCCCCTCTGCCCTTCACACCCCCAACCCTCCAGCATTCTCCACCTAAGTTCATGTCCATGTAAGTTCTTTGATGTCTCTGTTCCCTATATCATTCTTAACCTCTCCTCGTTTATTTTATGCCTACCAACTATAATCACCTATACCTTCCCCACTACATTATTCCTCTCCCTGCCTCAGTGATGTCCATTTCTCTGATTCTATTCCTATTCTAGTTGTTGCTTAGTTTTCGTTTTCATTTTTTTAGGTTCAGTTGTTGATAGTTGAGTTTGTTGTCATTTTACTGTTCATAGTTTTTGATCTTCTCCTATTCCTTTGATAAGTCCCTTTAACACTTCATATAAGGGCTTGAGGATAATGAACTCCTTTAACTTGACCTTGTCTGGGAAGCACAGTATCTACCCTTCCATTCTAAATGCTAGCTTTGCTGGAGAGAGTAATCTTGGATGTAGGTCCTTGCCTTTCATGACTTTGAGTATTTCTATTCAGCCCCTTCTTGCCTGTAAAGTTTCTTTTGAGAAATTAGCTGATAGTCTTATGGGAACTCCTTTGTAGATAACTCTCTCCTTTCATCTTGCTGCTTTAAGTTTCTCTCTATTTTTAATCTTAGGTACCTTAATGATGATGTGCCTTGGTGTGTTCCTCTTTGGGTCCAATTTCTTTGGGACTCTCTGGGCTTCCTGGAAGTCTATTTCTTTCGCCATATTCGGGAAGTTTTCCTTCATTATTTGTTCAAATAAGTCTTCAACTTCTTGCTCTTGTTCTTCTTCTGGCACCCCTATGATTCAAATGTTGGGATGTTTCAAGTTGTCCCAGAGTTTCCTAAGCCACTGCTCATTTTTAATTCTTGTTTACTCATTCTGTTCTGGTTGAATATTTATTTCTTCCTTTGGTTCTAAATAATTGATTTGAGTCCTTCCCTTCACTGTTGGTTCCCTGTATATTTTGCTTTATTTCACTTTGGGTAGTTATGGTGTAAGGGGGCAGGACCTTAGGTATTGGCCAGGGTGCAGCCCCTCTTTGCTGTGTTGTGGCGCTGTATGTGGGGGAGGGGTCAGAGAGGGAACAATATGCTCCCTTGCTCTGCTCTAGCCCCATTTTCCAAAGAATTGTGTCATGTGAGACAGAGAATTTCTCCTGCCATGGCAACCCCCACAGTCATTTACAGCTAGCTTCGAGTCTTTAGTTTCCTGTTCAGCCAGCCCTGCCTTATGTGCACAGTCTGAAGCCTTGCCGTGTGACCTCTCTGCCTGGCTACGCCCCTCCTACTAATCCAGGCAAATGTTTCTTTAACTGCTTGGTTGTTGCAGTACCATGCAGTATGATTTTTCTGGCACTTCTGGTTTTTTAGTGTTTTTAGATTGGTTGCTATCCTTCTTTCGGCTGTGCAAGGAAGATAAGCATTTCTTCCTATGCCTCCATCTTGGCCGGAACTCTAAAGCTATATAATTTTAATGTCATGAAAACAAAAGAAACTTTTCAAAAATATGAAGAGGGGCCAGAGAAAATGAGGAGTAAGCACTAAAAGATTGCTAATAATTGTGATAGTAATTTCACAAAAGTAACTTGTTAGAAAACAGATTAGAAGTAATTCAAAAAGGACCTGGCTTGTGTGGCGCCATGGACTGAGTGCCAGCCTGAGAACCAAAAGGTTGCTGGTTTGATTCCCAGTTGGGGCACATGCCTGGGTTGTGGGCCAGCTCGCCAGTAAGGGGAGCATGAGAGGCAACTACACACTGATGTTTCTCTTTCTATCCCTCTCCCTTCTCCTCTCTAAAAGCAAATAAATAAAATCTTTAAAAAAAGAGTAATTCAAAAAGTCCTCAAGGGGATAAAATAAAGATGAAATATACTATTATTACCAATGAGAGAAAAGACTGAAAAGGATGGCTATTTGGTGGTCTAATTATGATTTATCAAAAGTGTGGGAACCTTAGCATGTGTGGGGGAAGAGAGAAAAATAGAGAGATTTAACTAAAGGACAGACCATAAGGAAATTATTTAATCTTATTGAATTACCCATGCTTACATTTGTAATTTTTCTTTCTAAAAGAAATGGACAGCTCTCTTTCACCAAGTTAAATTTACTTTCTCTACTTAAATATAAATTTAAATATGAATTACTAAAACACATCCCTCCCCTCCAGGTGCATTTAGGACCCTGGAAATATTAAGGTCTCATCTTGTTACTCAGGAAGACAACTTCCTATACTCTAGAGAATTAAAAGAGTTATCTACATCAACCAAGTTCTGCAAGTATACCCCTCAAAAGCAGTGCTACTCTTCAGTTTGAATTTTAATGTCCTTAATGTCAAGTGGGATAGACATTGGACACATGATTATTCAATCCATCATTAATTTTTAACTTGAATCAACATAAAAGTTAATTCACATTCAAGGTAAGTACAAACAAAAGTCTTTCCTGTCTCTGAATAGTTATCTTGAAAACAGGGGCATTTGGAGTACAACATACATCTATATACTCACTCTCTTTTCATCATCAGATACCTGGGAGGACATACAAGATTTTGTTGCCATGTGAGACTGGAAGAGCTGAAAAAATGAAAAGAAAATACAGATATTGCTAAAAAAACCTGTATCTAATTAATATACTTACAATGAAAAGGAATTCTAATATTGTCATTATTACCAAATTTTGACTTGTAATCTACACAACTGACTCATGTTTAAAACGTTTCTTACTAGACAGATATCTGCATAAATAATACTCATATATTATTCAACATATAATATACATTAATACATTTAACCATATACACAAAAAATATTTTTAAAATAGTAAATGCCTATTTACATACAGGAAGACAAAGAACATTACTTTTATTTGAAAGACTTTATGAGGTTAAAAATGGAAAATAAGCTATTTCACTTAAAAAATACTCTAGGAGCTAAGAGGCACTCAAAATTCAGTGTATTGCACTATAGGATACTAGAGGAAATTTTCAGTATAGTTGAAAAAGTTAAGGATTTTAAAATGTGAATACGTTCCTTAGTTATCCAATTAAAATAGAAACAATTTTCATTTATAAAACTCCTATTATATTCCCATCACTATGCTAGCTCATTACATTTTCTTATTTAAACCTCACAACAGATCCAGCTATACATTTCCACAGCACGCATGAGAAAACTACAATTCAGAAAGGTTAAATAACTCATTTCAGTAAGTTGTGGAATATATGTCTGATCTGACAGCAAAGCTCTTCCTTCCGCTGTCCCAGGTTGTAAATGAAATACATATTCACTGTGTTTGCAACAATCAGGAATGGGGGAAGAGAGGTATAAGAGAAACTGTGTCAATCTCCAATGCTGCCTCAGAAGGCACTACTACTTCAGACTACCGCACAAGACACTGAGGAAATGTCTACACTTTTAAAAAGTAGTATTAATGTGGATGTGGTCAGGAAACATGCAAACAGGGCCAATGAGAATATAGTGCACAATAAGTTCCGTTCCTACCTTTGATTCTCTAGTACCTCAGCAGTTCTGCTCCCGAGAGGCCACCAGACTCATGTCCCCTTACAAGGACAGACCGTACATGCAGAAACAAACACAAATACACAGTCCTCCTTTGTTTATGGGAATAGCCTATTGCTCTGTATTGTTTTTTTTGTTTGTTTGCTTTTGGGTTTTTTTGTTTTGTTTTATTTTGTTTTGTTTTTCTGCTTAGTCTGTCCTGGAGACTGTTTCACCAGTACCCAGATGTATTTCACTGTGTCTATAGTATAGCATTCTGTTCTATATACTAAAGTATATATGGATGTCCCATCTTTATTTAAGCAGTCCCCTGGTCTTTGATTACAATGATCTATGCTACAGTGATAAAAGGAAGAACCTTACCACTGCAGTAAAGGAGTGGTGTTTCTGCACCTCACTCCCCAATTCCATCCCCCTGCCCCTGAGGTATGAATGCAATCCCAAGCAGACACACAGGTACTTCATGACTGGATTTTACAGAATGCTAACAACAACCTTCCTCTGGTACATCTGGATAATCTAGCCTTGTTAAGTAACCACTACATATACAGTGTTTCCAAATCCTGAGTAGTTGACTGAACATACTGTTCCAACATGAAATGCCTCTTATCATTTGGAAGATGTCCCTATGTAAAAGTACACAATTTAAAAAGAAGTACATAATGATACAAAGCACATCAGACTGGTCTAAGGTTTTGTTTTTAACTATACATATGCTTCACTTTACTCCCTCTAGCCAGTGCCCTGCCATTGTAACAAGCTTGTTCACTCTAGTCACTGCATGGCACACAAGCAGTAGATCATATCCCTCTCCTATGCCAGAACAGAAAGGTGAGAGTGACTACAACAGAGCAGTGGTAGTTACGGAGATTTGGAGGAGGAGGAGATAATTAAAGGCCAGAGCAGTTTCTAAGAAGAAAATGATATTAAATGAGTCAGAAAGGTTATAAAGCATCAGATGAGGTCATTCCTAACGTAGAAAACACCCATGAGCACCAGAAGGGAGACAGAAGTTCATCTGTACAGAAAGTAAATACCGGTTATAAGAATTTGGGAACAAAAAGAAGTGTTCATTGGTCTCTTGCTGCCCAGTTAGGAGAGAGGTTGAGAAACAGATCAGGGACACTACATACCAGGAGCTAACTGAGGAACTTTGAAATGTCTACCTGGAGGGTCTGGCTTGTGTTAAAGGCAAAGAAGTGCCCTGGAAAGTATCTGTGTGGAGGCCCTGTGCAGAGCCTTGCCAATAAACATTCCATGCTCAGTTTTACTTTCTCATGTAACATGCTATTTGCTTACATCAGTGGTGGAAGTAGGTGGCACACATCTAATTCACTGAAGGCTGTATTATTTCCACTTATCACTGTATAACTTTAACTAAAATTAAAATTTAAAAATTTTTGAAAGTTTTAAAATTAAACTTTTAAAAATTACAGTAAGAAAGTAGTTGTCAGTTTTTAATATAGTGGATAACATATGACTAGATTTTTGTGAAATGCTGCTCAGTAAATAGTTTGATTTAACTCAGTAAGTAAAATTTACTTAGAAAAAATAAAGATAGGTTTGTAATCACTTGTCATTAACCTTTGACTAATAAAACCTGGTTACATTTCTGTCATTAAGTTCTTATCAAATATCTGCTTTTGTTTATTCATTTCCTGTATTTCTGAATACATGCCAAAAAGCCTACTTAAAATCTTTGTGGATAAACGTTTTGATTAGGAAGTAAGAATCAGTCATATAAAAGTATTATAAATAGTTGTTTTTAATATTTTCCACTGGTATTACTTGACTAATTAAATATCCAAAACAAGTTTTAGAATGAAAACAATTTTTAATAAATTAACAGGACATTACCGAACATGAAATAGTAAGAGACAAGAGCTGACCTAGTCCCTCTAGTGGTGAAGCCTGAATTTAAACAAAGCTGGAAGAGGAATTCCAGTCTGCTCTACCACTGACCACCTACTTACTATGTGCAAATCACTATGCTGGATACTGGGGTCTTAGGAGGAGTAAGAGATGACACTTGACCTTAAAAACTTATCTCATAGAAACACAAACTCCTAACAAGCAATCATAATCTTATTCCACTTGACTACACAGTCACACAGCTTGCCTTTTCTGTATTTTTATCTTAAATACATATGTACACCATACATGTAGAAACATACATATATTTAAATCTATATACACTTACTACCTAAAAGGAAAAAATATTAAACAGTGCTTTAACTCCTGGCAAAGTCTAATACAAATGTATTTATTTCCTAAAGTTGTAGTATATAATGTATCATCGAAAAAAGTGCCGTAACATTCTGGGGTAGCTGAAGGAAAATCAGGTTTTCTGCCTTCTTCAAAATTTCAGTTTGGGGAGTATGGGTAACACAAGAGAGGTGGCACAGAATTTGTCCTAAGGTCCTTCGGGAGACATGTATTACATGACCTTTTTCCTCCCAGCCAATTAACAGGAAAGCATTTGGTGATCCTTTCACAACAGGACCCTAGATAACTTTCCTTACTCTACTTGGAAACCTTCCCCAGAAACTGCCTTATAGGCTCAAGGTACAACAATGAACCTTGGAGGAACTGAATTCTAAGAATTCTAACTTGACTTTAAAGATAGCTTCATTTTAACTTCACTTTCACATAACTTTTATCTTTATAAAGTTAATCCAAGAAATAGAAGCAAATATGGGCCTATTTAATGATTTTTGAGAGAGCAGGGTTTTTTGGCTTAAAACAATAATTTGAAAGATTACACAGGCTCATTCTTTAAAAATCATTTGATTAAATCTACAGGTTAAGGAAACTTTAAAATTAATAGTGCTGATCTAAAATTTTCCTAAATATAAGTTCTGGGGTCCGCCCCTGCCTGGTGTCAGGAAGCTGTAACCCGCCCCCCGCCTTGGCTAAGGCTGAGTGGGAGACCTCCAGACCAGGAGACACTAAGGAGACAAAGCTTATCTCGCTGGCAGGAGTGCTGCCTGCTCCTTGCCTGGCTCCCATGGCTTGGGCAGATAGTCAATGACAGGTAACAATTCTCTGAAGAGAATGAATCTAAGACAGACACGATCACATGGGAAAAGCTACCAGGGAAGACATTCAGGGGGCTGTGGAAATGAGGGGGTGATCGACATCGACCCCTGCCCCCTCAGCTTTGACAAAACCTGAGTCCTTGTTCTGGCTGTGAGAAATCCAAGTCTCCCGGCTGCCTTTGTCTCCTCTGCCCAACTCAGGCCTGTGGAAATAACAGGGGCAGTGCAGTCCAGACCAGAGTCGGCGGACCCCCGAGGTAATTAGACCTGGAGCATAGAATACAGCAAGATCCTGTGAGACCTGCCTGCTGGAGGATGCTCTTGAATTAGAATATGAAGGCACAGGCAGGAAACCTAGCTTTTAGGTCCCGTAGCCTTTTAAGTGATAAAACCCCAAAAACTCAGTGTGAGCCCTGTCAGCCCTTTGAAAGCTACCTATTCATTTGATCTTCTGTGCCAGACTGTAATCAACAAATTGTATCTGTATTCTTAATAAAAGCCTGCTTGGGCGGGAAGGTGTGGCGCTCCCCTCTTGAGAGAGTGGCCATTCCATTCCTATTTCTCCATAGGGCTCAGTAGTCCACGTGTGTGCTTTCTCGTGTCTTGAGCATCTGCAGCGTTCATGGTCACTGCAGGCTAGTGGCTGCCTCATATAAGTAGTAATAGTACCTTCTTTGTTGGGAACCGCCCTGACTGGTATCAGAAACTGAGACCCCCGCCTAGGCTAAGCTAAGGGAACGCCCTTGGAACCGTGAGCCGGCAAGGAGAAAAAAGCCTATCTCCCTGGCAGTAATGCTGTTTCTGCTGCCGAACCCCAAAAAAGCTTGGTCGGTTAGCCAAAGACGGGTAAGATTCCCCACGGGGGAACAACCCAAGCCAGGCACGATCACTTTGGGAGGCCCCCCAAAAGAAGGACTTGGGGGGCTGCAGCAAAAGGGGGGTGATGGACCCTCACTCCTCGGCTTTGACAAAGTCTGAGTTCTCAGCGTCCGGAAGAAAATCTCCTTATCTCTCGGT